ACAAGTTTTGTTTTGGCTGGAAGATATGTAAGCAGATGAGCAGACCTTGCTGAGAAAGATGAGTTGATTCTGGGACACCTTATGCTGGGGAGAAAGGACTACAGGAAAAGGGAGATACCCTTTTCCTGCTAGACTGAACCAGCTAAAGCCACTGTTAAGTAGTGTCAGCAAGGACAGTGCAGTGACAAAAGGGAGGAGGCTCCAGTCAGTACTACTTTATGTCTTCTCTTCCTCCCAGTTCATACTCCTTTTTTCCTGAGGTTTCGTCTACTTCATCTTCACACAGCTCTGCAGTGCGGCATCTGCCAGATGGTGGGTATCTGACTCACTGAGAGCCCTTTCTGATAACATCTCTGTTACACTATCCTGGTGCTCAGAAGCATTCTCAGTTCTTTATGACCAGGACAACATTTCTCCTCACTGCTATGCAGGTGCCAAAGTATAATTCTGTGAGGCAGAACAGCAAATGAAAGGCCAATTCCTCAGTACCCACTGTGGAGTTTTTGAGCATGAATACATGACTACTGAGCACCATTTTTTATTATCTTGTCCATAAACCACTGCTGTGCCTTGCTGGAGAAGCAACTGTTCCTGCTGGTGCCTTCAGACACTGGATAGATGAGTGACAAGCAGAAACAGGCAAAGCAATCCTTTCTGTTGTCTCTTTCCACCATGAACAAGTTCTCATCTCCCTGCATTGCTGGGCAGGCTTGCGGCTTTCCCTAGAATGGATCCCCTTCTTGTGTTTTTAACATTAAAAGCAAGTTGACTTTGACTTATGATTTCTGCTGAAGCAGAGCTCTAACTGTCCGTAAGAATTCCAACACGATGAGTTAGAGTTGAATGCATAAAAAGTCTACTTGGTAGGTGACCTTATCTTAATCTGATCTAAATCATACCTAAGTGCTGTAGTCTTTGTGAAAGCCAAAACATTGCATTTTCCTGTGTTCAGATGATCAGTGAATATCTTAGAAGTTGCAGTCCCTGATCATTAACTGCAATATCTGTCCATTATTTTTGCTTCTGAATTTTCCTTCTGTAGTAGACTGAAACTCCCATTTCATACTTTTTATGCTCTGTGATACAGACACAAGAAACGTGCAGCCAGAGTCAACTGTGCTGGCATAGAAAGCAGAGGAGAACTCTGGATGCTAAAAAGAAAGCAGGCAGACAGAAATGGAGAATTTGACCCCAAGGGGAAGCTCAGGGGAGTGCGAGCTCAAGGGCTGTGTCGGGCTCTCCTAACACTGGGCCTTCTCCTATCTTTTGTGGGGCTCATGGTGTCAGAAAGCTCTCGAAGAGCTAACAGATGCCACTGCTTCAGGTCCTCTAATTTTAGTTACCATGACCAAGCAAGTGGAGGGTGTTCAGTGCAGAAACAAGCACTGCACTTTTCTGGAAACTTTTCATTGTCCTTAGCTTCTCACTTTGTAATTCTTCAGTATATTGATTAAAAACAAACAAACAGATATTTGCACTGTGGACAAAGAAGAACCTTATTTTCCATTGAAAGCCCTGCCTCTGAGTCAGCACACAGTTTGGAGACACATTTTGGCACTCTTTCTCTGGTGGATCAACACCTCAGTTGCTGCAGTGCTCGCACCAGTAAATCCGCCTCCCTGGCAGAGAGCCTCCATGCATGAATGAACACCAACAAGGAGTCTGGCCATTAGTGTTTCTGCCCTGTGAGCAAAAAGAAAAGTTTGGGGGTTGACTTGCTTGTTTGTTTTCCTTTCCAAAGCATGTTCTGATCTTTTAATGGCAAGTGCTTTACAAATAGTGAATATGATGGCACACTTCCCATATAAGCAAATAAATAAGTTTAGTAATGATAGCCTTGGCCTAGTATGCCATTAATCTGAGCATTGTACAGTCATAATGAAGGACAGCATTTGCTCTACAAAACTGCAAAATTAAGGGAGGCAAGATCAGACAGCTTAGCAAAAGTTAATTCTCAGGAAGAATGGGACTGCACTGGTCAGACTGAAAAGCACTCACCTTGGCACACAGGTTATCTAACCACCACTGTTGTTGGCAATACAGAAAAGGACAATTTCAAGGTCAGGTAAGGGCAGGGATTAAAGTTTAGCTTAGTGAATGTTCCCAGAGGCCTGTTTTTCTTGCATATATAGTGGCATTTGTAAAATCCAGGGGAGTCAATAATGTTGTCAGAGTCCATATAGGTGATGAAGAAGTGTTTGAACCCTGCACCATGACACAAAATACTGCAGCTAATGAAAGTCTAATGCCTCCTGTACCAAAATGAATATTTTTGTATTAAAAGTGACTCCTCCATTGGCAGTGTGAATGGCTGTCTCATAAGAAGCTGATCATGCTTTTCCTAATCTCTTTCCTTGATGAGCTGCCTTGAGAAGTAAAGCATAAAGCTTCACCTAGGTCTTCACTCCGCTCGTTGTTGCACTAGTTACTAACAAGTAGGACCCGGTTTTGTGTATCTGAGCAATTACAGTGGTTTTATACAGCTGCCAGGTCACAAAAGGAATAGCCTGAGCAACTGTCTTCTTTTACAGGAATTGATAACTTTTGCGTTTCCTTACCATCTCCAGGTGCAGGGTATCAGTGAAATTAAACAAAATTGCAGCCCTCCTAAAGGTCTGCAGAGAGCTCAATAAATTGTCCATTTCTATTCATGGATCAGTTGGAATGGTATGACTTCAGAGCCACTTTGAAAAACTGTATTTACACTATCTCATAACTGGAATCTAAGTGTTGTTGTTTGGTTGGTTTTTAATGGACAAGGCCACTGAGAAATTTATATACATTCACTAAGACAGTTTCAGAAGACTAATACTGTCTAGGTTCAAAATATATAACGTTAGGGAACTGAAGGAACTGTTCTGTAAAGGAATTAAATAAAGAGTTGTGATTGTCTTTTTTCATTTATCTTGCTGTTGTGCCTGTAGGCCTTTCTAATTTCTTATTGTACTGACATGCTATAAAGAGGCATTATAGCTCAGAGCCTTGGTAGGGACAGGATGAAACAGTTTGGACAACATCCCTGAACCAGGGAAAAGAGCAAGAGAAAAAGTCTCTTACTGGAGCCTATTTACCCAACAGTTTGATCTTCATATCAGAAAGGCATTCTTTAACATTTTTGAAGAACTATATATCTTTAATTTCCTCTTCTTTTAAAGGCTGATTCTTTCATAAGAAGAGGTGGGGGAAACCATGTTGTAGGAAGGGCCTGGAGCAAGGGCAGCAGCCTCGGGGCAGGAGAAGGGAGGGCAGAGGGGAGCAGGGAAAACACAGAGAAGCTCTGGAACCCCAGTCCTTTGATGTGGTCGCCAAAACCATCCTGGAGACTGGGCATCTGTACAGAGGTTTCCACAGCTTGGGAAATCTGGGAGTTTGTTGAAATCAAACAGGACAGTAAGAGCTCACCCTGCAAGGACACAGTGAGCAAGGGTATTATGCTTTGTGCAAGCCTTTGCCTTTCTGTCTGCTGGACTTAGTCACTGCAGATCACTCAGTACTGTCTGACTTTCTCAAGTTTTGGTCTTCCTTAGAAAATTCACTTTCTGGAAGAGGTTCAAGCAAGTCCACCTCAGAGTCCTAATGTACTGGGTCCCGCCAGGGTGGAGCTGACAACAAGTAGCTGACTTGCGTTCCCACAGAGACATGTAGCAAACCATTGGAGAGATGAATGTCTGCGCTAGAGGCTCACATTTTCTTGCTTCAAACACAGTTAGCTGAAACAAACCAAAAGCCAGTCATGCAATATGTACTTTCTTAATGGTTAAAATAGTTGAGCAAGGTCATAATTTTCTTCCTTTTTCCCCTTTGCAGAGTTTCTAAAGAATTTGGATTGTTTGTGTGGGGATAGCTGCTGCTGTTGGGGGGGGGGGGCTGCTTGTTTTGACTTCAAAACCCGTAAGTGGTTTTGAAGTCATGGATGGTTATGTAAGGCAAGGCAACTGCTGAGGCAGTGCTGTGAGAGTCAGGGGTTGAAAGCTGCCCAACTGCAACAGGAGGACAATTTTCAGACCTGATGGGTTTAAAGTTACTGGGGAATTTAAGTAATCTTTTTTTATTTTATTTAATTAATTTTATAACCTTCTAGGGAAGGTCAATGATTGACAAACGCTTTGGACAAAAGGATGCTTGTTAGAGACATGTTTTCTTGGAAATAAAAACGTATTGGTATCAAATATATTTTGAGACACTGACACCCTGCCTCTTGAGCAAGATCATTGGTGTAGTCAGATTACCAGCACCCTGCCCCTTGACCAACACCAGCAGCATAAGCAGGGTGCTGCCCACGGTATCCATGTGAGGTATGTTCCTCTTAAATCACGCTGTCATTGCTTAAATAGCATTTACGTGACTGGCTGTTGCTCCCAAGTGACCCAGACACCAACTGTCCCTGGATGCTCACAGGAGCAATTCTTATAATCCTTGTGTTTGCTATCAGTGATCAGTTGATTCACCATATGGGCACCCTGTTGCTCATCTTTTCTACGAGCCTAATAAACTTTTGTTTTTAAACTATTCCTAACATATATACTCAGAAGATAATCTGTGAAAAAACAAAGGGCAGCATATTGGTATCATAAACACAAGGAAACACTGTGGTGTCTGACATGCCTTCTCTCCCTATTTAATTTCCAGCTGCCATGTCGTGATCATCTCAGTGCTGCAGAGGTATAGCCCCTCTCCCTAAGTGGTAGCAGTAGAAAAAACTGTAGGACTGGGACATATTTGCTCCATTTGACACCCTCTTCACCTCCTGGATGCAAAATTCCCCATATTTGCTCTGTGAAGAATCAACAGCTTAAAGACAGAAATGAGTGGAGAATGGAGAAAGAAGAAACCTTCTGAGACCAGCTTCATCTATGATTTTGAAAAACCTGGTTTATTTTTAAAACCTTTACTATACTGGTGACATTATCACAGGAGTCCTTGTTGATGTATATAAGTGTGTTTTTATATCATTGTAACTGACTTAACTCTGTTTTTGTTCATCTCTTCTTCTCTCCCAGTGGAGTTTTTATACTGTGATTTGGCTTCCATGAAGTCTATACGGCAATTTGTGCAGCAGTTTAGAGCAAAGAATTGTCCACTCCATGTCCTGGTGAATAATGGTGAGTTCTGGTTTTTTTTCAATTCACATATCTGCAGGGGAAGATGTCACAAATGGAGCTCTCATCTATCACTTCACGTTTCAGATAGGTTATCTGAAACATGCAGCAGGTTACAATAGGATTGCAGTAGCAGGGATGTCTTCTTAGGAGTTAAATTGTGTTTTTTGCAGAGAGAGTCAAATGAGCAGACTGAACACTTCAGTGTCACAGCTGCTCATGATGTTATTGCAAGTCTGGTTCCTTTGCTGTGCTTTTTTAGCTCTCGAGCACTAAAAATCATGCAACTACACAAGAATCCAAGAATCTGGAATAAAAGTAAAAAAGGAAAGGGAAGCTGTACTTTATGCCAATTGGAGGACTGGGTAAAAACCAACCATATGAAGTTCAACAAGGAAAAGTGTCCGATTCTGCACCTGGGATGGGGCGACCCTGGATGTATGTACAGACTGGGGAATGAGATGCTGGAAAGCAATGCTGTGGAAAGGGATCTGGGGATCCTGGCCGATGGCAAGTTGAATATGAGTCAACAGTGCCCTGGCAGTCAGGAGGGCCAACCATGTCCTAGGGGTCATCAGGCAAAGCATCACCAGCCAGTTGAGGGACGGGATTGTCCCGCTCTGCTCTGCACTGAGGCGGCCTCACCTTGAATATTGTGTGCAGTTTTGGACACCACAATGTAAGAAAGATATTAAGCTATTGGGGAGTGTCCAAAGGAGGGCAACAAAGATGGTGAAGGGCCTTGGGGGGAAACCATGTGAGGAGCGGCTGAGGGCACTTGGTCTGTTCAGCCTGGAGGAGACTGAGGGAGACCTCACTGCAGTCTGTAACTTCCTTGTGAGGGGAAGAAGAGCTGCAGGCACTGATCTTTATGGTGACCAGTGACAGGACCTGAGGGAATGGCCTGAAGTTGTGTCAGAGGAGGTTTACGTTGGATATTAGAAAGAGATTCTTCACCCAGAGGGTGGTTGGGTTCTGGAACAGGATCCTCAAGGAAGTGGTCACAGCATCAAACCTGACAGAGTTCAAGAAGCATTTGGACAATGCTCTCAGGCATGCGGTGTGATTCTTGGGGATGTTCCTGTGCAGGGCCAGGAGTTGGGCTCAATTATCCTTGTGGGTCCCTTCCAACTTGGCATATTCTGTGATTCTTTCACCTTTATTTACTTTCTCTCCCCTTATATTTTTTCTGTATGAACACTTGTTTACTGTGGCTGTCTGATGAGCTGGGTTGGGGTTTTAATGCATCGGAAATATAACCTATTAAATTATTCAGCAGTCTCAGAGAAGTCACTGCATAGATCAAAGTGCTACTGGAAAGTTGTCCATAAAGCTGTATCCTCAGTGGTCAGAGCACAAATTAAAAGGACAATATTTATCTTGCATTCATACAATTATCAAATGAATCTCATTACTCTTAGGGATTTTAACTTTTATTACTCACATACTTGCCATCTAATTTTGTTTTATAGCCCCAATATTTTTGGAAACCAGCCCATACAATAATTTTCCTCCAGAAACCATGCATGCTCTGCATGCACTTTCCTAAAGGGGAATTTTCACCTGTCTATTTGACTAGGGGAAAAACCCGCCAGCAAAAATTTAGGCTTCTTTTAGAATTTTTCTGCTGTTACATGCTGCTGTTCTTGTTTTCCTAATCATTTGCATATATTTTACTAAGACATCTCAGAGAACAAACATGCTGTAAATGAATGGGTTTGTTACATTCGTTGGTGCCTTAAAGAACTCTTAGTAACACAAGTAAATATTGCAATAAAAATTCAAGTGTTTTTTATTTGCTGATTGATATGAAACGTTCATGAAATGTTCAACTAAGTGTTCATTTTTATTTGATTAGTCAAAAAGGCCTACTATTATTATTTTAATTGTGCAGTAATTAGAGGTAGTGGACATTTAGGCCTGGTTACGAAATCTTTCCAGATTTACGTGACTAATTTTACTATTTGAAAAAACAGCATTTTGTGGAAAAATGGGTTTTGAGATCTATGTTCCCATCAGGCATCCCCTACCCTCCACTAGTTTTCAGCATGAGCAAAGCCAGAACTGTCAGCAGGGGCTTTGAAGTCATTTGGGGGAGAAATGATGAGACTGAAGCAACTGGGAAGCCCTCTAGAAGAAAGGCTTTTGCTCTGTCCTAGCTGCTGCTGAAGTGGGATGGAAGCAAATTGCAGTTAAATATGTCTTCTTATTCAAGAAACAAAGTTATATGAAAATAGGTCTCCTAATGGGCCTAATGTGCTATGAGACCAAAGAGTGTAAGCCCAAAGCTTCTTTTAAGAAAGAAGTTTGAGACTAAAGTTTGCCTGATTCAGTCTGTGTTTTCATGACTTCCAAGAAGGGCATTTGATTTCACTTACTCTTGATTACCAAATACAGTTGGCAAGAGAAATCTGTTTGAGAAAATCCTCTTAGAAGCTACAATGAAATGAATGGTCCAAATCTGCTGTTCGCTGAATCTTTAACAGAATCACAGAAGTAAGCACGCCTAAAGCTGCTGTAAAGAATCCCATATAATTAGGTTAGTCTCCAACCATTACCTGGCAAGTCACCAACCCACTTCTGAAAGGTCTTTCCTGCATACTTTCTTTTTTTTTAATGGTCCTTTTTATTTGCTTTTGTAATTAATCTGTAGCATTTAATTTTGTTACTAGTTTCACAATGAAAGCCCGAATGTTTTCTTGGTACAAAAGAGGAATATAAACATACCTAATGGAGGAGAAATGGCCTGATGCAAAAACCACCAGTGTTAAGCACGACCAAGACAAATGCTGACATTGGGGCTATCTGGTTGGGTTTTCCTTTTCCCTTTCCCTTCCTCTTTCCTTTTTTTTTTTTTGTCATTTTTTCTACTGTAACGCAATGCACTAAGGAGGATGATTCAGTCCATCGTGGACAGCAGAGCTGGAAGCACTACTCACTCAAAACCTCAACATTGCAATATTGAAATGTCTCATGGGAATGAGTCGTTGGGTATGTTGTCAGTGAAAGCGTACATGGTCAGAAAACTGTGTTATCTGGGGAAGTCATTTTGCATGACTGTCAGATGTCTTTCAAGACATCTCATAATGCCGTGGTTGATTTTCTTATGTTTCAGTGTATGCATTTAGAATAGTAGGATTCTTAGTGTCACCTTGTACTTTTTTATTTATTACTGATCTCAAAGCTCTAGCATTCTTGATATGAAGAGTTATTTTTAATTTTAGCATATGGGGAAGAGCTTGTGGGCCAGACAGCTACACAATGCATTTGTAGGCAGCCATATGCCTTTAAGAATCTGACCTAAAATCTGTTGGGGTAATGCAGAGTCTCCATTATGTTTTGAAAATCAGACTTTGTGTGAATCTCACTACTTCTGAATCAGACCATCGTCAAACTAATAAAAATTTTCCTCTCTGTCTTCATGAAACAAAGCATTTTACTATTAAGGACTGTACCCTTTTGTTATATTTAGTGTAAAAAAGCTAAGAACTGTTACATTGCGTTTTTTTCGCAATATATTAGAATAATTTAATTCCTTTAAATCTAAATCTTTTATATTGATCAGTATAATGATGTTAATATGTTAGTGATCGTTCCTCGTATTATCTCCATGAATACATATCCTGTATGTATGTGAAGGTGTATGATATTTGTTATGGGCTTGTGTGAACCTGTCAAAAAGCCAAACATTTGAAGATGAATTATGAAAGTTCCTACATTTTACCGTAATGCAAACTATGACATTAACATTGAAATATTATTAAAGACAAGTGATTTGGCGTGAATTACTGTACTATATAAATAATCAATGTCTGACATAAGATTGTTATGAAACTCAGCAGTTTTCCTTTTTTTTTAAGGAATGTGTCTCCATTACTTGCTCTCCATCCCTTGTTGAACTCAAGGATATAGTTGGAAATTAAATTAATACTAAAATTCTGAGTTTCAGAGTATTCTCCCAGAACTAAACACTCAAGTCCCACAAAAATTTCAAGAAGATTTAGGTATTCTACTTAATGGAAATTAGTGCACTAGAGTCACCTCCTCTTTTTGTTAGAGCTTATTTTAGCATATACATTTAACTTTGTAATTTCTAATTTAAAAGGAAAAATTTGGTTGAATGCACACATTATTTCAGATGACAAATAAGGGCCTGTTTTTCCATTGCTATGCTTTCTGCATCAGTAATGTGCATGCTCAGCTCTTGGTTTTTAAAATAAACAAAACACATTAAAAATGCAGATAGAGTATTACATAAACTTATTTTTTTTTAATATAATGTGCTAGCACTAAAAAGAGAAAAATACTATGACACAGAAAACAAATCCATTTTCTGTAGAAAACAAGAAGTAAGCTAAATGGTTGAATTGGATGCAACACAAGCAGTTCAGAAAGCTTAATCTGACAGAAGGTCAGAAGAATATGTCTTCTAGTCCACTAATTAGCAATTGGGTGCTATTTTTTAATTCTGTTTTTGAAAAGAACTGTGTCTTTTTACAGCTGAAAAGCATTCAGCAAATTACAGCATGTACCCTAGTGTAATTATTTAATACATTCATAAAAATGACATTGCTGTTAAAATGCATTAGAAAGTCTGCTCTCCTCTTGTGGTTGCAAAAGGGACAGATAGTAAAACAGTTTGTAAAATTCCATGAGCAATAATTACTGTTCATGCCAGAGAGGTTTTTTCCTAACTTGAAGCCAGTCATTTTCTCTGTGTGCTAGAAATGTTTCTCAGCACCTTATAGTTTATGTTTTTGCTTATACACTGTTTACAATAATTAATTATCTTAAGACCAAGAGAGCTAACACCAAAATCACTACATATTTAGTGATACCAGAATACCTATGGATACCAAACATGCACTGTCTAAACTCATTAACAATGAAATATCAACTTAAAGATTTCAGGCTATTATTAACCTATTGCAGACAGATTACAGTTAAAATATTTTATGTTTAAGCCTATCTAAGCCAATTTAAAATCGGTATTTCTGAACTGC